TGACTTTCTCCGCAATTCATTGGGCCTTCAATCTGACAATCATCGCGGGGAAGAACTGGGTCAAGATACGGGTATCAGTTGCCTGCCGAAAGAGGCTAAGCTCATGATAGCTCTAGGTGGAGCTCATGCAGGGTTCATTCTACGGGGAAGTCGACAGCGAAAGGACTTCTGTGAATTGCCCGAGTAAGCGGCCACAGTGGAGCTTGACACTGGCAGGGTAGCAATATCGGTGTATGGAGGCGTCGCGTCGACTATGTCGGACCGCGGACCAGATGAAGTGGGAATTTACTAGAGTAAGCACATTCAAGGCGAATCCGAGGCATTGATAAGATTGCGTTCAACTGAGAACCTGGCCATTCTTTTCACATATCTCGATAGATCAGCTTACTCAAAGAGCCTTTCATTGTCACCATGTCGACCACAACAGTTACTACGGTGGCTGAGCCGGTTGAGAGCACCAGCACCATCGCTTTGGAAACTGCTTCTGGGAAGACGTCGGAGAAAACGGGCGTTGCTGCCTTGGCAACTGGCGGCTTCACTTTTGCCGGAATCCCCAACATTACCGACCCTTACAAGAAACGACAATGGCAACTTGAGCACATGGCAGGCGCCTTCCGAGTCTTCGCTCGTAAAGGCTTTACTGAGGGCACCAGTGGTCACATTAGCGTCCGTGACCCGGTAGACCCCAGCACATTCTGGATTAACCCGTGAGTTTTTCTCTTCATGCCCTTGTGTGGTTCAAGATACTGACCAGTCGGAGTCTCGGAAAGCACTTCGGTATGCTCAAGGCCAGCGACATGGTTCATATTGATGAGGATGGGCAAGTCATAGGGGGCAACAGAGTCGCCGTCAACGCTGCAGGCTTCATGATTCACAGTATCATCCACAAGGCTCGACCAGATATCCATGCGGCCTGTCATACACATTCGCCAGCTGGAAAGGCATGGTCAACCTTTGGCAGACCACTGGACATCATCAATCAAGACAGCTGTAACTTCTGGGGCACACAAGCTGTGTACAAGTCGTTTGGTGGTGTTGTGCTGGATGCCGAGGAAAGCCAGAATATTGTTAAAGCACTTGGAAGCACGGGTCGTGTTATGATCCTCCAAAATCACGGTCTACTCACAACTGGAGGCACCGTCGACGAGGCGGCCTATCTCTTCACGCTGATGGAGAAGTCTTGCGAGGTCCAAATCATGGTTGAGAGCACTGGGCTGCCAAAGAACCACATTAGTGAGAAGGCGGCCGAGTTCACGGCAAAAGTCAATGCCGATCCAGTAAGTGCTCATGCTATTGCGTCCCATCAATTCCTCCTTGTTCTCGAATAATCTCTAACAATCTGTCTGTAGGAAACATTATACACGGAGTTTCAGCCCGATTTTGAATACGAGATTTGGAAGTCAAAGGGAGAGCTGTCTAAAGAATAACGCTCTTTAGGATAACTCAGAAATGATACACGAATCCGCAAAACTATTCTGCCAAGGTGTTTATTTCGTGATGCTTGCACATCCAGTCATCGGTGATCTCGGTGCTGCCACCGTTCATGACGCCGCCCGTGTTGCTCTTGCCGACCTCACGAAAGGACTGCATACGACAGGAATCCACACATCGCACTGGAGATAATTAAGTCCGACTAGGTTGAGGTCATTATCAACCGTCAGTTGCCCAGGAAGTGCTGGGGGATCAATGCGCCAATCATGTCCGTCCAGTTCTAATCCCACCAAACCTACAAGTTTGGAAGAGGCATCTGACACCGACGCTCGACATTCCCCAATGAACTCATTGGATAGGCTCTGATAGAGGAAAGGCCGAGCGGAGACCCAGCAAGATGTTGGCTGTTATCAATGGATGCAGCTGCGTTATCTATTCCGCGGCACACGGTTAGAAGCGCCGATGATAAGCTTCCGGGACCCATACGTCACCGTTGCATCGACTCCCCCCATGTAGATGTTTGTTCGCGAGCTACCAGTGGACTTTCAAATCGTATCGACGTTGGAATTAATCTGCGACGTCGGAACTGCAAACAAGAAGATGATGCTGTAATGAGACATCGCCGACGGTTTTGAGTATGTAATTGGCGATAGGAAAGTATGAGCAGAGAAGGATCTTCAGGATGGCGCCCACAACGCCAAAGGTAGCAATCGCAGCGGCGATTTAGATCTATTTCTATCGTCTATAAAAATCTAAAGCGCGAGCGTCTTGCGCACAAACTCCGGAAATCATGCACTGCTTTTGAAAACCTGGTCTATCAACCGTGTTGCCTGCAGCACTTCCTCATCTTCAAAATGTTTGCCCGCAACCTGCAGACAAACTGGAGTGCCATCAAAAACATCCGGATCGTCTTGAAACTGATGATTAGCATGACCGAGCTTTCCTCGTGCTTGGAATGATCGAGGGGAGGAATCAACTTACATGCTTTCCATTCTTCCTCGTCCTGCTGATTCCTTGGCGTGTATGCCTCTTCAGGCTTGTCAATGTGCTTATCGACCCTGAGTCCGCTTGGGAGAATGGATGCTGGCTGGTCAAGAATGTTCCAAATGGCCGTGTAGTTCCAGTACTTTGCTCCGCCCTGAAGCACTCCCGCCCCGACGTATGCAGGGCAAAGGATGAAGTCAACGCCCTTTGCCTTCATCAAAGCGTGATATTCGCGTCGGTATGCCTCTCTCTCAGCATTCAAAGCCCAGTTCTCAGCTATTGTAAGCGGCCGACACTTGGAAAATGCAAAGGCGTGGTGCGTCAGTGGAAGCGCTGGTTCACCCCCTTCGGCGAAGGTGTCCAGGTACGGTTTCGGGCCTTGTGGGAAGTACAGTGAGGACTTCGCATGTCAAGTCAGCGGCTGCGCCGGTATCCGGTATGATGTCTGACTTTGTGATTGAAGACGAGTTGCCTTGACTTACGACTATCTTCCAGCCACGTTCATGGTCGAAAGGCTTCCACTCCACGACCTTGATTCCTGCAGCCTTAAGTTTGTCTGTTGCATGTTGAAGGGCTCGAAGAACTGGTGGGTGAGGCTTGACGCATCTGATAAATTGCATCTGTTAGTCATCTTCGAAGTCTCATGCAAAAGAGCTCAAAGTACTCACCCGTCATCAAACATGACACCAATAGTAATGTCCTTTTTCAGCGCTACTTGCCGCCAAGGCAAAGGTACCAATGAAGTTTCTGTTTGCCACGGTTCTTCTCCCAGCATGGCACTCATGAACCTGTCCAGGTCATCCACGCTCTGTCCCAGTGGACCCGCAACCCCACGAATGCTTTCTTGACCAAAGGTGATACCAAAGTTTCCAAGACAAGGAACTCTCAAAGCCGTCGGGCGGAGTCCGTAACAACCATTGAAAGCGGCCGGAATTCTAATGCTGCCACCAATGTCGGTGCCTACGCCTATAACAGAGCATTTTGCCCCAACGGAAACGCCTTCGCCTCCTGAAGAGCCGCCAGGGGAGAGAAGGAGGTTATGGGGATTCAAGGTGAGCCCAGTGATATTGTTATTGCAGTCGAGATGCTATGGCGAAAATAGTCAATATTAGTTTGACAAGTCTTCAAACGAAGTTGTCTGGGTAAACTATTCTGTCACATACCATCAGAGACTGGGGCTGATTTGTTCGAACGTGAATGACTGCGCCTGCCTGCTTCAAAATGCGTACCGAAAGCGCGTCTTCGGAGGGGATGTTCGAAATCTTCGCCACAAAACCGGCATGTGTGATTCGGCCGCCCATACCGATGTGCTCCTTTGAATAAGATGCAGTTTAGTAACCAAAGCCCTCTTCATGAAAGCAGAGACAAACATTACCACATACCTTCACTGAGATCGGAATACCATGCAGCGGCCCTGCCAACTGACCGGTCTCTTGATAGTAAGCATCAAGCTCATCGGCCTTCTGCAAAGCGGATTCAGCGAGAATTTCTGTAGCGAAGTTGGTCTTCAGGCGTCGAATGATCAGCATGTGCACAAAACGCTTGCCAATAGCCTCCATACCAATTGGTGAATTATCGTTGTTCTTTTCAAGAAAGCTGTGACAACCTGTCTGACACTCCATTGGCCAGATCTGTACTTCTCCAACAAGCCAGCCGCGTCTTGTTCCGTCATTTCCAACTCCTCGGTCGTAAGAATTCCTGCCTCATATGGAACATTTTGAACATTTCGGCGATCTTTGGGCGGTAATTGACTTTGCGGAAGCTCGTAATTCTTCGGGATAGACTTCTTCTGGATGTCAATGCATGTCTGGGCTAGCTCTCGCCAACTCTTTGCAAGGGCCGTGATAGCCATGATGTCAGGGAGGAAATGATTTAACGACGTTACAACAGTATGCCGGCACTCGCGTCGATCTCTGTAAATTATCAGCCTTCATGCCTTCGCTTGTCAGAGAGCCCGGACACTTTGTACGGTTTCTTCCAGCCAGTCGGTTCTTCGTTATCAGTTAGAGCTATCTTGTCCGGCGGCGATCGCCTCTCTGCCTATCGCTGTCAACTGCCATAACTGAGTGCAGCAGTGGGTCCATTCTCCACTACAATGGTCATCCAGTCCTCCTGCATGTCAGCTCCGCACGAAACCCGCCTCCCTAGGCTCGCAAACCAGCAATTGTACTGGATGAAGATATCCGAGTCCCGAAAAAAGCATGGAACGGGTCATTTGAGCTGGTAGGATTGGTGTCGGAGCGTCCCCGAAAGATATCTGGTAGTCCTTGCCCCAGATATGTTATCAGCTTGCCCCCGCATGCTCCGCGCTCATAGCTTCCCCTGTCGGGCGCAGCTTATCATCACTTCAAGATAGCTCCATTGAACTGTTCTGTCAAACTCACCTCGGTGAGCCAAGACCATATCTTCACCCGAGCAGTCAATGAGCAGGAGCGATAAGTAGCAAAGAAGCACCCATACTCTGCCGCTGCCTTGTCGTCGCTTCTGTTTGGCTTCTCCCTGATTCTTGCCATTCCCACCCTCCGACCGCTGTAGAGAACGTTGTCTTGAAGGCACCAACTTGAAACGGGGTTCTTTCTGGGACCATGGCTCAAGACCACACCAAAGCCGAAGGAGATGGGTTGCCTCCAGGCACTTCGAGGCTCATCGACGTAGATGGCTCCGTTATTGGACAGCACGCGTCAGGGTCGGGCGAGAACGATATCGTGCTCATTCCTCGCCCTTCAGAAGACCCAGAAGATCCTCTGAACTGGACTAGAAGGCGCAAATTGCTGGCTACGTCATGCGTTGTGCTGTACACCATCATGATTGCCATCCCAAGTAGTGCAGTCTACTCCGTCGTCACTCCCATTCGAAAAGCGACTGGATTATCGCTGGCGGACATCAACAATGGAACGGGAATCATGGTCAGTCGGGATGTGCAATTCAAAGAGACTATTTCTGACGACATGTGCTTTAGTTTCTCTTCTACGGCTGGGGATGCGTCATCTGGCAACCTCTTGCTCTCCAATATGGCAAGCGACCTGCTTATTTGGCTTCCCTTGCGGCGAATATTGTAAGCCATCCAATACAGATTCTGGGAAATTGTTGCCTAACTAGATGTGCCTTTCAGATTATCCTCGCTACTGCACCGATGTGCACTACAAAGCATACCTATCTTGCGAGCCGTATTCTGCTTGGCCTTTTCGGAGCACCCGTCGAATCACTTTGCGAAATCTCGATTACCGATATTGTAGGCGCACTGTCCACAAGAAATTGTTAAATACGCGAATGAAGACTAATCGATGCGTAGTGGTTCGCTCACCAACGCCCGAAGTACCTTGCGCTCTATGGATGGGGTCTCTCTATGACAGGCAAGCTTGCTCCCATGCTTTCTGGTTTCATCAACGTCGGCATGGGATGGAAGTGGACTCTGGTAAGATAACTCATCTCAATCTCGGTCTTAAGGTAGATGCTGACCATACTTTCCTCCTTGCAGTGGTGGTGCGCAATTTTCAACGGAATTGCTTTCGTATACTGTTTCCTCTTCATGGAAGAGACCAACTACGATCGTCCCGCGAGACTGGAGGGCCATGAAACACCCATCATCTCGGAGGCGCAACGAACAGAATCTGCAACTGGTAGTGAGGAAGAGTCGAAGGTCGCGAACACAACCGAGAAGCAGGGAGCGCCGACCACCAGCCCCGTCGATAGCGAGACTGGACAGGTCATGTACCTACGCAAGACCTTTGTTCAGAAACTGGGTATCAAGGACAAGCCGAGACCCAACCGAATGCTGGATATTGCTCTTGGCGCCCTCCGAGGCTTCACATATCCTTCTGTCGTTTATGCTGGGTAAGTTCAATTCTTTTGAGCAGGACTGCAGCCTAACTGAATTCAGATTGATGTACGGCGCCAACAACTTAGTATGGTCTGGTGTTCAGAATGCTACAACAGGCACCGTGTACACCACCATGTACGGCTTCTCTACTGCCGGTGTGGCTGGCGCTTATGCGGGTGGCGTTCTTGGTACCATCATTGGGTTAGTCCGACTACTTTGAATTGTTTTGTAATGATGACTGACATATTTGCTGCAGAGGCTACTATTGCGGCAAGGTTGGAAAGATCTTGACAATTCGCCTCGCGCGTCGCAACAACGGAATCTCCGAATCAGAGCATTCTTTGTGGCTCTTCGCGGCCTCAATGTTTTTGGTGCCTTTCAGCATGATCCTCTACGGCCTTGGAGTTGCCTACCATATCCACTGGATGGGGCTCATTATCTCTCAATTCACGCTCGCTATCAACAACGCTCTGGCGGTCGCCGGATCTCTGGGTTATGCTATCGCATCATACCCGCAACTGAGCGGCGACATGATCACCACGTGCGTCATCATTCGTAACACGATGAGCTTTGCCATCAACTACGGCATCACTCCCTGGCTCAACCACATGGGCTATCGCGACACTTTTATAACCGTTGGCGCTATCGGATTTGTGTGGAATGCTAGTATTTTTGTTATGACTAGATATGGCAGGAAGATGAGAGAGAAGAGCGCAGAGAGATACTGGAAGGATGTGGCAAAGGCGCACGCGAAGGGTTTGAGTCATTGATTGTGTGTTCAGCACTACAAGTAGAAATGATCAAATTCTGAAATTCCCGCTCGGGATGTTTCAATGCAATTCAGTCTCGTAATGATTGGACCAAAACCCGCGATAGAAATGGTATTACACAGACGTTTTACTACTGCGAAGCACTGTGCTATATGATTTCTCCACTGCGATCTTTGTCCAATGGTAGGTAACTGGCCATTGAATCTTCTTTTAGATATGTTTTACTATTTAAATGTCTGATTACATTTGTGTAGGTGTGGGAAGTCTCCCGGGTATTGGATAGAAGCAAAGAGGAAGAAACGAATGAATGAATGACTGTACACATGTCACGAAGGCTTTGAAGAAGAATCCAAGCGACTCTTCCCACGCATCATATCTGTGACCTTGGTGGAGACCCTGCTCAAAAGCGATGTCTCTGATTCTGTCGATATGACACTTCTGCTTGCTTCGCTTGACCGTCTCCTCTGGTGCATCTCTTTAACAAACTTGGCCCAGGTGTTGGTCAAAACGAGATACTTGATGTGCCCCTGAGCGCTGTCAAACACATTGGGGTTGAAGCTGGAGGGAATCTCGCCGGTGTAGCGGATCTGGCCTCGGATGTCCTGTCCACTGCCTGAAGTCTGTCCATTGCGGGAGTGATAGGCATCGTCGAAAGGGGTGATGTGGTTCAGTGAAGAGTCCTCTCCGAAGAGAATGCGAGCGGGCTTCTCGAACACAGCCTCAAGATGCTTGAGCTCGTTTGAAGGAAGGTTGAGAGGGAACTCGGCGAGGTTAATTGAGATAAAGTCCGCGTAGATGTCGAGGGCGCTGTTGAAGGCTTCCAACATCTCTTCACCACTTAGTGAATGAGCTTTCGAGTTTTGAGCAAACTGAGGCCAAGTTGAGGTTTTCCATGCGTCCAGACGGGTCAGGAAGGCAATATTCTCTCCGGAAAAATCGCAAAGAGCCGAGAACTCCTGAAGAGAACCGGTGTTCTCACGGAGGGCGTGGTCAAGAGCGCTCATCGTGAGAAGACGGCTATCCGGCTCCGGGCCGATTTCGATGTTGTCTGATTGGTATACGTTTGCGAGGCCCTTCTCCAACTGGCTGGCTGAGGCTTCACGCCTGCAGTTGACGCAAGTGCCCATAGCGTTAGACATGGGCCTCAGAGTACTTGATTGAGACGACGTGTCCCACTTGGCGTTTGCATCCCTTGCCTTCTTGCTGAGGATTCGCAGTCGGATAACCTGGAATGCTGGTACAAAGACGGCAAAGATCTCGAACACCATAGACGAGAGATGTAACCTAAATGCTATCATCAGCTGCGGTTTCTTGAGATCAAACAAATGGCTTCAGGTTGAGGCCTTACCACTGGCTTGGAGTGAAGTATTGGTTGACCTTCGCAAACGCCGGGACATACGAAGCAATGAGAAACATCGGTGTAGCGTGGAGACTAGATAGAGATCAGCAACGATGAAGATTACTGGACAAGTCAGAGTGTTACAAACCTGGCGAGGCAGCAGCCAATGGTTTGTGTGCGCCATCCCATTGTGTCGCGGATGCCCCAAGCCTTCCAGAGCATCGTGGGGGCGATCTATACACGTTAGAAACACGTCGATGCTGCTTTTAGAATCGATGGTGACTTACAATCCACGACCAGAGAAACTGCCAAACTACCGTCGGCCACCATTCCCATCCTCTACCCAAGTCTACCAACTGCTCCATGACATTGGAGCCCTGAATTTCTGTACCAGGAATGCCGAACGTCGGGTGATACTTCTTGCAAGCGAGCCACATGCCAATGGTCAAGCATGCCTAGACCAAACAACCGCAGGTTAGATTTAATCAGTGCGTATGTGGAAGAACCTTACGTACCTGAACAACCAAGCCCAGACCGATGGGGATCATAATCTTCGTCGTATAGTCCATGTTCCTCAGGCGGCAAAGCCAGGATGTCCTGGAACCATCGCAGCCGAGCTTTCCTCGCTTGATCCCTTCTCCCTTGTTCGCAAAATGCAACTTTTGCAGCTTGGCAACGTGCAGGAAACGAGCGTTGGATGCATGGAATAAGGCAATACCAAGCGGGAACCAAGTTCCCATGACGAAGTACTGGACATCGTAGGCTAGAACAGCCGGCATAGTTCCACCGATAGGATAGGTGATCTGGGCGAGAATCCAGTACAAGTGAAGACAGAAGATGGCGGCGAAGGACAGCGGCAAGCCACGGATCTTGAGGACGGGGCTATCGCGGTTGACCCAGCAGAAGATCATGCCGGCGATAACGAGTACCGTCCATGTTACGCAGAAGGTCATGTAGAAAATGCCTACGCTGTCGAAATTTGGCGGCATAGGCGGGAAGTTGTAGATCGTAAGGCTCGCCATCGCTGCGGGATCCATGGTGACGTTTGTGTTGGAGTTGTTGGACGAAGAGAGAAGGCATCTCCTGGTCTGGATCTTCGACAAAAACAGGATGGGAATGTGTCTTCTTTTCAAGACAGCCTCATTCTTGAAGTTTTGTGCGTGGGGATATGAGTGGGGAATGCAGAAGGAAGAGTCCATGACCGACCGAGGAACGGTTCAGCCACAGTCGAAGAAGCCCAGCGGGCCAACGGTACCGGCACCTGGACACATTGTGATCGGCCATCCAGATCGGTATAATCAGTCAAGCGATAGCGTGCTTGGCATAGCGATACGGGTGTGATACAGCCGCACAGCTTGTCCGGAGCAGCGAATCCCGTTATGGCCAGGCTAATATTGAACCCCTTCCCCCCGCTTGTGGCGTCTCTCGGCTGTGGTCACTGCTTTCCCGCGATGAACTACTCTAGGCTTACTCTGAACAATTCAGGCTCATGTTTCGACTCATGTTCTCCCTACGTCCTTCAGAACTTTGCTTTTTTGTTTTGTCGATCACTAAGGTGTTCGTCCGTGCTCCCGGCACCCGAATCAAGCCAGCTTCAACTAGACGTTATCGTCCGTCGCGCTAGACGGCTGATGATCCAATCAGCGCATTACCGTGGATTCGCTTGGCCGTTCCGTTCAGTCTAAAGCAAGGGATCTTCATGAGTCAATCTGCTCGAGGTAAAGTGAGGTGGACAGCCTCGCATGCGTCAGGTCTTTGCTAAGTCCAATCAAATGTCTGTATTTCAAGACAAAGGCTTTTTGGCTTTGCAGGTACACGAGAAACACGGCATCGCAGGGCTTCCGGTCCTTTTGTGGGATGCTAGATCTTTTTCGTACCTGGCGTCGAGATTGACGGCGATAGATGCCTGTTGATCATTTCTAGTGCTACAATCTTTTCCGTGCCGGATCGACTCGTTCCATGATTCCGAAGGGCGGCACTTGCGCAGACGAATCGCGGGAAGGATGGCGACCACTTCGTTCTCCACATGGTTCTCGTCCTGGGGATGCCGTCGCCTCGTGCTCGTCAAAGAAACTCAACGGTCTGGGGCAAAATACGCGTTACTATCGTTGTCGAGTGCCATGTGATATGAAACTCTGGGGTCGAAATCGTGACAAATGTGTTGGAAACTACAGCAAAGCACTCCAAGTGACGCATTTCAATTGACGTCAGATCTCACAGATTTCTCGAGATCATTGGGACCGATCCTGCTGCCGGGATGCTCATCGGATCTAAGATCAAGTCGCATCCGGACACTTGGAAAACATCAGAGACCCCTGAATGATGTGCATGCATATGCCCTCTATTGGAGTGGCCCGCAGTCAGGAACAGCAAACCCCCCTGTCTACTTTTCACCAATCCCAGCTAACTCTGCCGAGCATCTCGGCCTTGCTAGTGGACTACAGGGCATTGTCTCATTGTCTACTCCAACCTTTGTTTCTTCACGCTCAGACGGCAGTTCATGTCTTTTGCTGTGGGCATTGTGATCGTCGATCTATGGAATCACTGTTTCCTCTTCCCGCTGTCAAAATCTGCACTTGTCGATATTTGGGGTTTCCCCATCACGCCTTGTTCGCGCGTAAGCGGATTGCATCTTCAACCCCGGTCGCGAGCTGGGGGGATCCAGATTTCCCCACGCTGCCAGATCGTGAGCAATTTCAAAAGTCGATGACTCTGTCCCATATGAGTTCTCCTGAGCTATCTTTCCAGCACCTTGGCTTGCATGTCAGCTGCTTGACCGAGAACTGGGAGCCTTGTCGCGGCCCATTGACCTCCCGAGGATGCAGATCATCAATAGCCTCTTGGGCGGGCAAGGATCGGATTACTGAATAGCGAAAGACCCTGGTTGGTCCACACAAAAATGATCAGCGCCAATGCACTGACTGCAGGATGCCAGATCTTGACAATAAATGGACCTGCGTAATATTTTAAGTCTGCCTTTTCTTGGCTAAGCTTGAACGATAGAAGCTTCCCCATCACCAGCTACGGACAGTCCACGTGCAGATGCACTCCTGCCATAGTCTGTCTTCCCCTGAAAGCATTGGTATGGATCCAGCCCTGACAAATTCGACGTCAGCTATGCCAAGTGACTTGAATGAGGTGAGCAATCATCAAATGAACGTTCCGGCGCAGCGGAGGCTGAAAGCCAAGGCGCTTGGCAGATACGTAAGTCGCCGAGACCTTCGAAATGAGTGTCCGTAACCGGTCGGCCCCACTCGGCAGTGGACTTGAGCAGGCCAGCTCCGAACATCGCCGGCTGCTCCGGCCGGGCAGGCGCGGAGTCGTCCAGACGACGGTTTTGTTCAAGGCCATTGTAGATCTCGCTGTGGACCACATTGGGCTTTCCCTCTTTTCTCTAGTGCGTTTAAAGAGAACAATAGGGTTCAAGTGTGCCCTTGGCGCTTACATTCCGCCTTGGGAAATCGCAAAGATGCCCCAAAAGAGGTAAGATTTCCTAACAAAGAATCGCCCAACGGTGACGAACCGGCTGGCTTGACCTGTGCCGCAGCCACCCGTGCCGCTTGCGTGGTTTACCGCTCGATATTATTTCCACTTGTGGTATGCCATTCGTCAGCCGTCTTGCAACCTTATGAGTTATCAGTTCTGTGGGTAACCCTCACTA